TTGTTTGTCTCACCACCTAAAGAGGGATATACCGATTCATCGAATTGGCAATCCGCATATCTGGCCTTGAAGAGATCTCCAGTGGTTGGCTCGAGATATCTTATGATGGTGGGAGAGTCAAAACCAACATATATTCCCATCCTTCTTTGAGGTCCCATTTTGGTTCGATGTGGTGGAGCAATGGGTACATATACTGAACACCCAAATGTTTTGAGATGGGAGATGTCTGGCTCATGACCCGAGAGTAGTTGGGATGGGGAATATTTGTGTTCACTAGATGGCCGGATGCGTATGAGTTCAGCAGCATGTAATACTGCATGTCCCCATGCTGAGGCCGGGAGCTTTGATCTCATGAGTAATGGTCGGGCTATCCATTGAATGCGTTTAATGAATGATTCAGCCAATCCGTTTTGAGTATGGACATGTGCTACAGGATGTTCCACGGTTACCCCCATGGCCATACAGTAGTCATTAAACGCTTGTGAGGTAAATTCACCAGCATTGTCAAGGCAGATAGTCTTTAGTGGGAAGTCAGGGAAATGGGCCCGCAATTTTATGATTTGGGCCAAGAACCTAGCGAAGGCTTGGTTCCGAGAGGACAAGAGACAAACATATGACCAACGGGTCGATACGTCTATAAGGACCATGAAGTACCGGAATGGTCCGGAAGATGGATGTATAGGTCCACAGATATCGCCCTGGATTCTTTCTAGGAAATGAAGTGTTTGTTTAGAGATTTTAACTGGTGAAGGCCGAGTGATCAATTTGCCTTGAGAACAAGCTGTGCACATGAGGTGTTGAGGATAAGCTCGGTTTTCTTTGAGGGTATGCCCTTGAGAGTTTTGAATTAGTTTACGCATCATATTTGCACCGGGATGACCGAGCCGGTCGTGCCAAATAGTATAATCAGTAAACCGGGCTTTGAGAGTGGTATTAGCTTCAATCATACTGACTTTAGCATGGTAAAGTCCAGTAGAGAGCGCGGGTATGGTTTCGAGGATTTGTTTATGGCCGTCTACGGTTTTAGTGACTAGGAGGGATTCTTTGTTCCCTTGACCTTGGGTTTCTATGTGGAAACCATTCTGTCTTATATCCTTGAAGCTCAGAAGATTTCTCTTCGAACTAGGAGAATATAGAGCATCTGGTATTTCAAGTTGTGTGCCATTTGATAGCAACACATAGGCATGGCCATATCCTTCGATAAGGTTTGAGAGACCCGCGATGGTGCTAATATTTGCGGTTTGATAGGTTAGGTTTATGAAGTAACTTTTGTTTCTTAAGATAGTGTGGTTGGATCCACTATCTACGACTATGGTTTCCATTTGCTGGTGTGCTTTATTATGAATAGAAGATAGAATTCAGTATTGAGGAATTCAGAAAATGTGATAAATCATAAAGTAAAGCAGTGTCTGAGAATAAAGGCAAATGGAAAAAAAAAATGAAACAAATCCCAAAATGAAAAAAATAAAGAACAAAATCAAATTGTATCAGAGTTTTAGATGATTGAATTAATCGAGGAGATCAGCTGTTTCATAGTCCATGGGGTCGGTCTGCTCGTTTGTGGTGTTCTCATCATCAAGGAGGTCGTCACCTTCCAGGTTAGCAGCATCGACTGGCTGAGTCATGTTGGCTTCAGCAGGAGCTTTTCCGTACTTCTGGTATAGATCGCAGTGGATCTTGGGGGTGCGACATTGCTTTGTTGGGTGGTTGAACATCCCACATCTGGTACAAGCAGAGTGATCGGGGTTGGTGTGGCGGGTCGGCTTGGTGATGCCTCGACCACGACCAGGACCATAACTGAGGTTAGGTCGGTTGCCACGACCATGTCCGCGTCCACGTCTTCCACGTCCATGTCCTCGGCCATTACCACGTCCATTACCACGTCCACGGCGGTGATCTGAGGATCTATCGGGTTGAACATGGTAGGACTCTTGACGAGAAGCTGGGACAGGAGCCGATCCCGGGGGCCTCATAGCGCTGTTCCTCATAAGCAGCTGGTTATTCTTCTCAGCGAGGAGAAGACAGGACAACAAGTCTTCGTACAATGTGTGTTTCATTGCACGGTATTGTTGTTGGAGCACAACATTCTCTGTGCTGAATGTGGATAATGTTTTCTCGAGGAGATCATTATCTGTCACATCCTCGCCACAGAGTTTCCGGATGGCAACAATACGAAAGAGTTCGTTGTTGTAATCATCTACGGATTTGTAGTCCTGGAACCGAAGGTTCTTCCAGTCGAAATCTGCCTGAGGCAACTGGACCATTTTCTGATGGTCATATCGCTTTTTCAGCGCTTGCCACAATTCAAGTGGATTCTCAAGAGTGAGATATTGCTGCTTAAGGCTCGGGGCCAGATGATGGCGTATGTGACATATCGCCTGAGACTGTCCCTTACGGAATGCGGTGTTACCGTCGGTAATACACGCATCGAGTTCTTTCGATGCGAGGAACAAGCGCATGTCTAGGGCCCACTCGAGGTAGTTATCCCCGGAGACGTGAAGGGCCTCGAATTCACATTTCTGAATGTTTGACATCTGAAACATGAGATTGATTTTGTTAGGGATTGTTTTGAGAAAATTTTGAATGCTGATGATGAAACTTTCTATTTTGAGAATATTTCTATTTTAGGAAAGTTTCTAAATTTGGAAAGTTTCTAATTTGGGTAATTTTCTAAATGAGGAAAGTTTCTATGTCGGGAAAATTTCTATATGAGGGAAGTTTTTATATGAGGAAACTTTCTATTAGAGGGAACTTTCTCGGAAATAGTAAATTTTAAAGGGTATGGTTTTAGTTACCCCGAACATGATGTCGGTTTAATAGCTGTGATTTAATCGGTTAAAGCCGAATATAATTTCGGTTAATGAGAACCAGGTTTAGCCGGTTTTAGGCGGTTTAGGAGGAACCCTAGGGGAGCCGAATATGATTAGGGTTTTATCTAGGGTTTTAACGGTTTGGAAAACATATTTTGGATGTGATTTCGAGATCTATAAGATCTGTGGTCGATGGTTTTAATAATTTCACAAGGACAACAAAGAAATCACGTGAAAAGGACTAGGGTTTAAGCATTATGACTTACGATTTTGAAGATTACAAAATCGTGAATCAAGCTTAGGATTTAGGGTTGATTTTCTTAGTTTATTCAATCAAGTGTTTCAAGCAAGAGAATCAACAATCAAATAAGCTGCAACAAGCTTATTAAACATGAAGAAAATCGAATAGGTTTATGCCATAAACATGGCCAAAAACGGTTGTTAGGTTTTTGTAGATTAGGGTTTTATAAAACGAGTTTAAAACCTTTGAACATGCATAAACTTGTAATTTAAACAATCAATCAACAAGTTATCAATCAATCATCAGAGTATCAAACACTTTCAATCAATTAGAGATCGATTTTTTTTTTTTTTTTTTTTTTTTTTTTTATAGGGTTTTGAAGTGTTTAAACAACAGGTTCTATGGCTTTCAGTTTTAGAAGATACCTTTTCCACCTTTGGATTTCTGACAGGCTAATGAAACTGGGAGCTAATAGACCTCAGTTAGCCGCTACAAATTCCAAGGATTGATCACCAAAACTGGAGAAGCTGCTGGTTGAAGAAGGAAAAACTCGGATCTGGTTTTTTTTTCGGTTGATCGTCGTGTACTGTAAGTGTGCGTGAGGGCGCGTCCGACGTTGGATCGACAAACGGTTTTCACCAGTAGATTTGTCTCGTCGAGGGCTTCGATTTGATATGTAGATCGTCTTCTGGTTCCTCACGGTTTGGAAGATATGCGTCTTTTAAGTTTCGACTTGCTTTTAGGGTTTTGGTGGTGGCCGGATTTATTAGGGTTTTTCGCTCAGAGAGTCTTATCGTGCTGATAACGTGTTGTGAAAACTTCTTAGAAACTTTATTAATCACTGGAATGTATATATAGAGTATATAGGGAATCTAGGTTAAGTACAATGCCCTGATGGGCCTAATGGGCCGGTATAAGAGTCCATATATGATATGTGTTATAACACATATAACATTATGTTAATTGGATACCCACTGATACTCACATTGTCAGACCTGTCCATGGGTTCAGGCTGATACCAATAGGCCACCCGAGTCAGCTCAATATGACCCTAAAGCCAAAAAAAAAAAAAAGACCTTGTTTTATTTTTGAAATTTTTTCTTTAACATAACATTTTAAAACTCTTTTGTATGAGAATTTTTCAGAAATTTGGTAATGGAATAAAAAATATGTTATGATTATTTCTCCATGAAAACTATCATATAACACTAAATCTCATAACCAAACTATGATTTTGTTCTAGATTTTCTCAAAAATAAAGTTTAAAACCTATATTCTCTAAAAAAAGAAGTTCTAATTAAATGTTTATGCCCACAATTATCGATTTTTATGGTTTTTGATATAAACCAGATGCCAAACCATCAATCCACAAAACTAAACTGAACAGTAAACCCAATTCCCTAAATTGGTGGGGATCTAATGGTACATAATGCTATATGATAGTTTTCGTGGGTATCCAATTTTTTTTTGTCAAAGTTGGTGTTTTTGATGTGTTAATAATAATCAAGAAAGTGCATGGTTCCCACTCCCCAACGGCTAAATTCCCCCAACGGCTCTTAGACTATCGCATTAGGAGCCTTAACACCTTCAATTAATATTTAATTAGTAGTAGTATATAAATGCTTTCACCAGTAGAATGACATGTGTGTACAATACCTTTAATTTATAGCCCGAAAATAGACTTTTCAGTTCTTATAACTAAGTCCACTTTTGGCCACGTAAACTTTCTTTTTCTTTCTCGAGAACCTCTGTTTTTACACCTCATTTCTTTATTCCCTTATTTTACAGACACGTTCCCAAGTTTTAGGGACAAACCAGAGGGATTTTAGGACTCACATTTTTTAGCGGTGGATGCAACCAAAAAACAAAAAAAAAAAGTCTTACTAAACAGATAAGCACAATACTGTTTCATTGGTTTTGTTTCTTCTTCATCGTTTCATTTCCTCGTATCTCCACCGCTTGTCATTCTTGTTCTGTTTCTTTTCTAACAAAAAAAAACGATTTTTACTTTCTTTTTTCTTCCTCTTGTAGACAGAGAAACAGAGTTGTCTCTGTAACTCATTCGATCATTTTCCTCGATCGATTAACTCCAATGAGTATTGGAGTCTTATACTCAGATAGTAAAAATGGCGTCTTCTCAGGTGGAGATTCCTCATTCGTCTCAGAGATTCGGCTTTATCCTCAGAGATCGTAATCAAAACGCCGTCGTTTACAAGAAGACTCTGAAAGCTCCTGTGAAAGACGATCATCATCACCACCAGCTCTTCAAATCTCCGCTCTCCGACGAGAATTCCGAGAACTTGGTCGATTCTTGGATCGAAACTCAGAACAAAAAGAACAATAACAATAGTGTTGTCCGATTAACGGAGAAACCAATCGTCAGAAAATCAAATGTTCTTGCATCTCCCGTGGAAACTGTTTCAAGAAAGGAGAAATCTGAGGACTCGAAGATAAACGGAGCTTCTTCTCTGGTACAGATATGGGAGGCGAGGCTGAACCAATCCAACGGTGGAAACTCGCCGAGCCATAACCAATCGACGGCGATCAGTAGTCGAAGCGATTCAGGAATCAGTGTTCAAGATTCCGAATTAGCTGATGAATCAGTGATCGCGGAAGCTAAGGATGCTGATCGAACGGTGGAGATTGAATCTGGCTCAGATGGATCAGTTTCTGATTCCGGAGAGAGCAAATGGGGCAGAGTCGCTGACTTAATACGGAGGCTTAGCAACGAGGAGAAGCTAACCGCCGGAGATAATGGCGGCGGCGGCGGCGGACTCTCGGTTATTAGAACGCCGAGGCCTTGCATTTCGTCGTGCTCGTCGTCGGTATCGGAGAAAAGCAATTTCCCGGTGGTTAATTTCTCACCGAGGATCCTCCGAGGACGGCAAGCGTTTACCGATCTGCTTATGCAACTGGAACGCGATCGCCACCGCGAATTGGATTCGCTTCTTGAACGCAACGCAGTTTCTAGGTTTACTCAACGTGGCCGCCTCCAGGTATTACTTAACCCGCCTAATGGTTTAGTGAAGTTCTTAAATCTACCCCCAATACTTTATTTTGTTACGATATCGCCCCATTTCAAATGTGATTTTTCTTTAACCAGTCAATGCTAAGGCTAAGGAACCTCAAACGCTGTCTAGCGATTCAAGATCAAAACCAGTCTAAAGCAAAAACAACCGGATTAAACCGGATCGAAACAGGCTCTGCAGTTCTGAATTTAAGGTATTTTTTTCAGAACCTCGGTTCTTTTTTTTTTGCTTCCTCATAGTTTTTGAGTTAAGTTATCAGCTAGCGTTTACATTTTCTAATCCGCAATCTTTAAAATCACAACGCAGGGAAAAATTTCGTGCTAACGCAGTAAACGCTGCGGCTGCAGCAGATCAGAGGAAGGATCATCATCGATCCGCTGAAGTCATTAACCGAACCGTGAAAGAAACAGAAGTGACTACCGAGAGCACGAGGTTGTCCAAAAACGGCGGTTTTACTTTAGAAGCTTTTTTCAAAGAGCGGTTGAGTCTCCGCAACCGCAAGATAGAGGAAGCAACGTTATGCAAGGAAGTCGAAACTGTAAAGGAAACAGTTGAATCAAAAATGGATTGCCTTCAGCTGCAAGAAACAAGAGAATCAGAAACTTGGATTGATAGCGATTCTGAAAAGAAAGAAGAAACGAAGACAAGCTCTATCACCTGCGAAACTCAAAACGAGAACAGAACGGAAAATTGTATGCAAGAAACTCCAGAAACACAGGGTGTGTTACATGAGAGTAATGAGATGGATCAGTGCCTTGAGAAACAAGAAACGTCTTACTTGAATGGATGGGAAGAAGAGTATGAAGATGAGCAGTCTAATTATGGAGAACCGAACAATGACTGGCTTAGCGAAATATCGCGTCCGAGAAGTTACTGGGAGGAACTGAGGAAATCACGGTACCTAGAAGTAATGAACACTCGGTCTGAGAAAGAAGACATACGCAGACTCCTTGAGCGGTACGTAACATCAAAATCAACAAGCATATGTTTTGTAATTGCTAACCATTGACTCAAAAAATGTAATTTTCCGGGTAATACAGGAGAACGGTTACAGACTTTCTCGAGAGCGGGTTACGAGACCAGATCGATAGGCTCATGATGTCCCGTGTGCAGAAACATTCGAATAAGCACTCTGAAAAATGGGAATCGCAACAAGAAAATGAGGAGGAACAGAAGAATGAAGTCGAAGAAGAAGAAGAACCACTAACAGATAGCGAAGAGCAAGACGATAATGATGACTCGTCTTCTTCGCAGATGTTTGCATCGTCTCCTGCAGGATCATGGAGTTCTCAAGACACTGAAGTACCTTCAAGTCCTGTCTTGCCTGTTCACAATCCTCATTCACCTGTAAGTCTTTATCAATTTCTTGTTATTGCATAGAATCTCGCAACAAAACTAGTAGTAAAAATCGTTGAACCGCTTAAAAACGTTTTCAGGAAATGGAGTTGATAAGCGATATGAGATCACAGATCCAACAGCTTCAACAAGAAATGTCGTTACTACGAGACTCTGTGAAAACGTGTTTGGATGCTAACGCGAGCTTGCAACAGTCGGTTCAACGAGAAAACCCAATGAAACGCAAATGCTGCGTCTGCGACGAAACGCAGGTCGAAGCGGTTTTGTACAAGTGTGGACATATGTGCACGTGCCTAAAATGTGCCAACGAACTACACTGGAGTGGAGGGAAATGCCCGATTTGCCGAGCTCAGATTATGGACGTTGTTCGTGTCTTCTTCGATACAAGAAACTGAAAATCTAAAAGGTTCATAAACGCTTGACGAGTTCACTATCCTAATGCTCTCTTTAACTTTAGGTTATGTTACCAATATTGTAACGAAAGGGTTTGTCCAGTTAATATATGAAGTTTTTTATCTCGTAATTAAGCCAACCAAGATAATTAACCAGATAAATCCTAAAAATTGGATATGAAAGTCAGAAACAGGGCTTCGAAGCTAACAAGGAAAAAATTGAATTTTGCAATTACTCTATTAATCGATGAACAAAATATAAAACAGAACTCTATCACAGGATTACGGGAAAGGTCCTCTCAATGCTCTAACGCCCACACCGGATATGGAATTACTTAACTCCGTTAACGGAATTACTTAACTAATATTAAAAAAAAATCTTCAATTATTTAATCTTTACCAAAAAATACCTGAACTTTTAATGTTGCCAAAAAACTCACACAAACTAACTTTTAATATATTTTAAAGTCTAAACATAAGCAGAAACAAAGCTAAATCATAAAATCTTCATCGATTTGGTATCCCAAAGGATTCAATAGACCAAAAGAAACCCTAAAAGTTTGAAATTAAAGGTGAGAAACAGAGCTTCGAATCAAAAACAAGAAAGTAAACTTTTTCTATCACTATCATAATCATAAACTCTTCATCGACTTTTGAAATATTTCAAATACTCAGAAAACAAAAAATAAGCCCTAAATGTTGGAGATAGAAGACAGAAACAGAGCTTCTAAGCAAACATGAAATACAAAACAAAAACCAGTTACTCAGTTACTCACTCTTGTCATTATAAAGCTTTCATCTTTCTGATATCTCAGACTCAAAATAACCCAAATCATCTAAAAATTAATAATTAGAGATTCAAGTCTAAACAAAGCTTCGATGCAAACATGAAATTTTTTTTTTGTTATCATAAAACTCGTCATCGTTTTTGATTTCTCAATGTTCCAACAATCTCTCTCTTCATAGATATTTACACAGCAACCGTAGATACGTTACATACATACATATATATGATATATAAATAACATACTTTCATATATTAAAAAAAGTCTCTTTTTTCTTCTTGCTTACTCTCAAGCGTTTTGAGCGGACAAGAAGGTGTTAAAGTCATCCCTAGCCTTACGCAATCGTGGAGTGATACAAGATCGCGGTGAAGTAGGGCAAGAAACTGAAGCCGACGACGAAGAAGTCGAAAATCTCACACGGCGTTGCGGTGAACTCTCAGCCGATCTCTGGTGATCTCTACCCGAAGATCTTACACTCCTCGTCTTTAAAACGCTTCTCAGAGCCAAACTCTCTGTTTCTCTATCGAACAAGAAACCAGAACTCACCGGTTCTTGCACATCTCTTCCTCCGTGTCCGCCTCCACGACTGTTGCACTTCATCATTTCGACAGGAAAATCGGAAAAAAACCGACCGTTGTCTTGCGTCAGAGCCGTCGTCGATGCCCAAGAACCGCATTCGAATTTCTCGAGCGAGGCGCGTATCGAAACAGTGGAGTTCGTGAAGGAAGACGCTCTGATCATCTTCTTCTCCATTGAATCTTGGCGTCTCGAAGATGATCTAACCGGCTTTTGTTTCCCGAATCCTGGTAGAGACAAGCAGAAGGCGTTACATTTGAAATCTTCTTCCTTGTAGAGGATTTTCTCCGAGTAACGAGATTTCCTCATAAAATGGATTGATTCTTGGTGGCTAAGTTTCTTCCCGACTCTCCTCGGCTCCGGGAGCATAGGAAGCGGAACGGCGGCGTCTCTAGGCGGTGGCAACGCCGGAGGCAATACCATTCTGAAGCTGTCGTCTTTTGTCGAAGAACGGGGGAAAATAGGACTGGTTGATTTTTCGCTCTGTGGAGCTGACTTCTTCACCAAGAAAGTGAAATTAGGGTTAGGGTTATGGCTTTCTCCAGGGAAAACCGTGAAGCCCTTCCACTCGTTATCGGTATATTTCTCGGGTAAACTATCATCAAACGCAATCATTGCCGGAGGAGGCATAGTTGATTTGTCAACGAAAACAAAAAGGTGAGATTATGATTTCTGAGAGATGAGGTTTGTTAATTTTCCGGGTAAAAAAACATGCAGATGATAGAGATATAAGTAGTAGGGAAAAAAATAAAGAAAATGGGAAGCACGTTCATGGCCGCGTGGAGAAAGTAGTGACTTACATGTTTGTTGGTTCTGTCTCTGTCCTAAGATTTTGACATGTGGTTCAGCATCATTATTCATGTGTTATAGATGCGAGGATCTTAAACTAAAATGCGACTTAAACCAAAGAATTAAAGTAAGTAGATTTGATTTTTCAATTTAGGATGTTTGATGGAGACAGACAAAATGGTTTTCACGTATTTGTGACATGATCTTTTGAGTTTATAAATATACCTTTGTGTTTGTGAATGTGTTCCTCTAATCGAGTCAAAGTCAGCATCTTCGTGACAGCTGAAAAGAGTTCATCTACTTAGCAAAAACCAGGTAACTTAATTGATCTCAATACGTATATAGAGAAAACAATACATTTTTCCATAAATTGTTTCCTTCAGTAAACCTTAAGTAGATTAACGATATGTCACACCACTATAAGGTTTGATATATAAATAATTTATAAGGTTTTAGTGAATCTTTAGTGAAACATAGATCAAACATCTAAATTAAGATCATTTCCGTTATTAGATCAAATATAGAATTGCAATGTTACAAAACAATAATTTTGAAAAGAAAAAAAAAAGTTGTAGTAGGATTGATCCATTACTTTCTTGCCATTGCATGTTTGTTTTCATGTAGGATTCACTATTACTCTAATTTTCGTGGATGTTGTAATTAACTACAATTATTCATTGAAACCAAACATAACATTGCATATAATATTCTACAATACATAAGCAACTATGCCAGTAGCGGCTAGCACCATGAGCATTCATTTCACATCTTACATACAATAACCTAAACACACAAACACACACACACACACAAACTCTACTCTGGAATAAAACAACTTAAATAAGGAGTACTATAAGTGAAAAAAAATGACTGTGTTAGGAGTGGTAATTGATGTATATCTTGCAATTTACATATTAATCGAATTTTGGACTTTGACATAATCAATAATGAACTAATGTATATATTAGTAAACTATTATACGGTATTTTAACAAAAAAAAAAACTATTCCAGTAAGAACAACAAAAACTTGTGCGTGAAGAAAGAAGCAATAGCAATGTATAATAAGTTAATAACCAATTTGATAGTATTTTAAGTAGAAAACACAATAATTGCATAATCTAAAGATTAATGTCAAAGTCTGTCTGAGGTTAAGAAGAATAATAAGATGGCAAGAAATTGGAGACTCCAGTGGCAAAGAATTGAACCAAATTGGTATATTGGTATATAATATATAATATGTTTAAAATAACCTCTAAAAACTCAAAACTCAGAACAAAGTGGTAACTCTATATGCTTGTAGTCAAAACAGCCTTCTCCGGAATAGAAGCTAAGCTATTACATCAGTTCTTGTATTAATCGGAGCTAACCTTCTTATCAACACTTGACTTACTGAGGATAACAACTCCAATGGTGATCGATAAAGCTCCCGCAAACCACTGCCAATGTATCAGCCAAACTCAAGTCAACTTATAAAGCCAAATATTATCACTTCATCACAACAATTTTTGGTCTGTCTAATAAACTCCAACCTTGAAAAAGAACACAAATTTTGGAAATCTGCAATAGTATAGACTTTGACATCCATAGATCATATTATACAAGCAAGAAAGCATAAGCTTACATAGATTATATTCCAGGACCAAAAAGCTTACACGGAATGGTAAGGATTCTTGAAACAGAAAGAGTCCAGCTAAACCGGAAGAGAGGAAATTAGCAGCAAAGTTTGTGACCGTAGCTTGTAACGATGAGAGAGCTCTTAAGCTGTTTACATAACATCCCCACATAACCACATTGCAGAGTACAACTAATCCATACTTAATCACCTGTAGATATTATTAAACTTTTTTTAACTAGTTTATCAAAGGAAACAATACTATTACTTAAGACCTCTAATATGGATTAATTGAGAGAAAATCACTTCATTAGTAGCTCAGATTCAAAAAGATTAATGTTGGAGATTTAGAAAATGTTAAATATTACCAGAGATGAGAAGAACTTTGCGGAGATTGCGGCAAGAGCTGCATTGATCCCAGCAGAAATTGCCCAGATGTAGCCTCTTTTCTTCAACTTTACATCAGCCATGGATCAACCTTTTGAGGTTTTCACAAAACAACAATCAGAAGAAATAAATTGCATACAATTCGATCAATTGGTTTATTTACTTTGTAGGGTTTAGAGAAAATTTTAGTGTTTTCATGAGTTTCTTGGGTTCCAATACCTTTGATTCGCCGAAATTCTCCTGTTCGTTTCCGTAGACTAAGAATTGGAGAGCATCAAATCTGAAAATGGACGAGAGGAAGACGAAGAACAATGGCCATTGCTGGATATATATGGGCCATTTTCGTAAAAACTCGAGCTCAGTTTAGCCATTAAAACACCCAATATTACAAGGGCCATTGCTGGATATATATGGGCCATAGTTAGATATTTATGGGCTAAGGGCTCATTAAGGTAGGTTTTGAAACACGAAGGTAGGTCGCGATGCAACTAATCGTGGCTTTTTTCATCGTTATCTGTTTGTTAATTTGATTTACAGTTTAAAATCTAATAATAGGTCTTTTTTAAAAATAACTCATGCATTCAAACTTTCAGTCGTCCTACTTGTTTATTTGTTTTGCCAAAGCGTACTCTTCTTTCGATGATCACTTTTAAATTTTTCTTTTTTTTTGGTTTTGAATTTTGATAACCATTTATTTGTTTTTGTTGAAGGGTTTAGTCGTCCTACTTTCAATAATTATCTCATTGGTAGTTTGGGCAAACTGAATCTGTTTCATGTAATAAAGACTTGAATCATTGTTATACTCTTGCAGTAGGTCTTACGGTTCAATATCTCATCAGGTGGGTTGAAGCTTACACACATAAAGATGCAATTGACACATCAATCCAAGACAAACTAAAAAATTAAAATAGATCGACTTTTTTTTTCATTTTTATGCAGGAATTCATCAGAACATATGTATAAAATACTTACGCTTATTGCACAATAGCTTAAGCTTATAGTTTCAAATACCAACTCAAGCATAAGTAACCATTGAATAAAAGAATCAAACTTTTGCAATGCTATCATAGTAAAAGTTGCAATATGTTTATAAAAAGAATCTTGAAAATCATCATTTTTTATATACTACTACAAATTCAGTACATGATCAAAATTTTCTTCTATATGGTATTCTTTTTAGTCAACACAAAAAAGTAATATGTTACCATGTTAAGAAAATTTTGTTACAAATGTTCTTCTTTTTTTATTACACATAATAAAAATATTGGAATGTTTTTCTGCCATATATTATAGTGTTCATGAAACCCTTGGGTTTATGTAACTGTGGAAATTTTAGCAATTTCAAGTATTTTCTGCTTACTTTTCATATAAGGCCATGAAATAATATATGAAAAAGGCAATTCAGGTATTGTATACTTTAAATTGGCTGAAAACAAATCCAGTTTGCAAAGACAATTATCGACTCATCCAGGTGTATGGTTTAGGGTTAGATGCTCACTCAACACTCAGAACAGAATATCTTTTGAATCACTGACTTGTCCAACTCAACATTATTTAGCCATGAGAACTCCCACGTCCATGTCATGTCATCATATGATATATTGTCGGGTGGACCACAACTTCAATTTCTTCAATTTACAAGATTTAACAGCTTCAATTTCTTCTTTTGTGGCTTAGTTTGATACTCAAACAACATACTATTTAATTCATCTGCACTCAAGGAGAGATAACAGAACACACAACCAACACACATTCACCATTTATGCTTAAATACAAATTAAAAGTAACGTACTGTGTCATTTCATTAAGTAGTGGGCTTATGGTCTATTAACTGGGTTGGAGCAAGTCATAATCTAACACAAAGAAAAGAAAAAAGATTCGTATATATATTATGAAGCAATATAAACTTCCAAGTTCCATAACATACTTAAGCCAACCAAGATTAGTTTATCAACTGCGAAAGATGTAAAAAAAAACAAAAAAAAAACAGCGAAAGATGTTAAAAATAAAATGCGGATGCGAAAAATCTTTATGCGACCTTATTAAAGTACATCTTTGAAGAGAGAAAAAACCGATTATCCTTTCTACGGCTTCAAATATGATATACTTTAGGCTATATTCTTTGGATATAATAAATTCAAATCTAGTTTTCTGAGTCGTGTATAATAAGGAGGTGAAGGGGAAAAAAACACAAAAGTTGAATATTGATGATGCCAATAATAATAGACAATATTTGGGGGAATAATGAAGAGTAGTTGGTGAAAAGTGAAAACCTTCGTATGTCTTCCACATAATCATTTCATCATTGGAAGCATATATATTTGTGGGTCAAAAAATTATAATGGTTGATCTTATTTGTATCTCTAGTCGTGATGAACATTATGACTATCCACTTTTTATTATAAACAAACTGATATAAGAAAGCAAGAGAAGGCGGCACACTTTTCTTTGGAGGTCGAAGATAATTGGCTACGGTCCTATATAGGTAATATTTATATCTTTGTTTCTAACTATTTGCTTAAAGGAGGCTTTATATATATGACTACTTGTTTTCGTCACAATTATCAAACTACTTGTGTATTAAAAACGTTTTTGTATTCTAGTAGGATTATAGATAACCGAAGTCGTGTTTCGCTTGCTTTCTTTCATTCTGCGTTACTACCTATCTTTATATATTTATCTGACAAACAAAAAAACCTTAATTGGACTAGATTTACGTACCTAACCTTTTATTTTTAATGAAGTTTACAGATTATCAAGACATTGTCGACGACTAGTTTTAGTAGTGGAGTGATCACCTCATATATGTATTGTGTAGACTGAAGAGTTATATATGTACGTGGCAATTCCAGCGAGGTCAAAGACTATTTTATATATTTCGGTTAGATTTATAAGTTCTCTTAAATAAAAGTATAAAACAATTTTTGCACTTTTTAGTTATAAGTTAATCGTTCTCTCATTAATTGTTCAATCATACTTTTCTATATATTATTAAAAAAAAAAATTCGGCGATTCTACACAGGTTTTGTATTGTTTATTCAATCGAAGTCTTGGAATTAATCAATGTCAAACGTGATTCATAATTTCATAGATGATTATTATACGATTGATAAATACAGTATATTATATATTACTAACCAATCCAAACCCTAATATTGGAAATGTATATATTGAGCTTATTGAATTTTTATTTTTAAAAGCAACAGACCATAGCCTCCATCTCTGTGTCTGATTTAGGTTCTTAATAGGCACAGCCTTAAAAACGAATCCGTCTGAGCTTTGCTGTAATTTGGTATGACAATAGATGTGAACCTCCTAATTTACAGCTCAAACCTGTGATCTATAATCTTTGGAGTTTTTCCGTTTCTAGTAATGTCTAGACCTAAACATCTTGCAAATGGCACTTTCAATTAATATTGTATATGTATATCAACATGTAATTTTTAATTTTTAGTCTCGATTTAGTTAACTCCTCTTTAACTTTTTTCGTTACTTAATGGCGTAATTCATTACAAACGCACTTTCGCTACGCCTAATCATGCCCCCAGTTTTTAAATCACCCCAAAAGTTCATTCACTGTATTCTCAGATCTTTTGAAAATATTCCATTGATCCAACAAGATAATCTATATATATTACAATCATTTATTAAAATATAATTTATTTAAACATTTAATTTTAACATCGAAAAATATAGATCGAGTTTTCATGCTTTTTTTCCAACGTACATTATGTAGGCTTAATCTACCTTATTATAGTCACCACGTATGATAATATATACCCTTTTTTTAACAGCATATGATAATATATACCTATACATTTTTTTTATTGAATTTGTTGTGTTTGTGTGTGCTCGTTCACTCGAGCTCGTCCACAACACAAGCACCATCCCATGCTTAAGCGTACCCACGAGCCACTTGCTTACTTATTCTTTACAGTTGATACAACTACAGGTATGTAATATACCAATTTGGTTCCATAGCATATGAATTTGCTTATTCTTTGTTTTTCTTTTTCTTAAAGCTGTTTTAAAATACAAAGATTTATCATAACTACCATTTGGTAATACATAAGATAGCTAAATCGTTTGTTCTTTTAGTTTGATCATCGGAAGAGATCGAGCCGTACCGTAGATAAAGTGATGGTTATATTATCTTTTCGCTTATATGAGATTACAAGATATTGAATGTTATTGTAGAGTCGTTTTTAAAACACGTCATGGAAACATACGAACCCTACATTGGGGTCATAACTTCGATTTAATTTGTCGTTGAATCAAAAGCAACAAAATTTTGGATTTGGTGGGCTCTAATTAAGAAATTCACAAGGGTTTACAATATTAGTGAAGAGCCATAAGCCACACTATTAGAAAACAAAAGGATAACAAGAAAACAATCTTTTTCATTTGAAAGTGCTCAAAGAAAAATACAAAACCTAAAGGAGCATTAAGGAGACAATGTTTTGTAATCTACACCGAGTTAATGCCAAGCTGCATCATCACCAATTAAGCATGTCTCTTCTTTATTTTCCCATTCAATTTTTATTTTCTTAACTCTCTCTAATTAACAATCATGATCATCATTAATATTTTTCTAATTGGAATCTTAGAGATCGTGAGCACTTTCGTTTTATTTTTGGGGATGTTGTGTCCCATAAACGACAACTTTTCCTATTTTTTTATTGTTTTGCATGTTATTGGGTGTAACATGTAGATTGAAATTTGTTTAGTATAATATTCATCAAAGTTTCTCATAATTATATATTGTAAATTGTAATATTGGTTCCCATATAATTTCTCATGTAAACTGAAGTAAGAATATATTCATAACAATAAAATTCTTAAAAGTACATTTATTAATTAGGTTAATACCATATATAATAATGAAAAAAAATGCGTATGTATTTTGTCAATGAACTCATTCATTGCAAAACGAGCGATCAAAACGCAAACGTGAGGTAAAAGAGAGAAAATAGCAAATATTGCCAAATCATCAACACGTACGAGAATTGCTCTCTGTATAAATGAATCGAACATGAAAGGAGGAGAAGAAAGCCAAGCATGCCAATAAATTCTTGAGAATGCTGTGGAAAGGATTATGTTTGAATCCATCTCACATCTTCTATTATTATTTGTTTATCGATTCCAGTTGTTAAATAAAAGTGTATTACAAACAGGGTCAACAAACAATTATAGTTATATAATTATATATATATATATATTTAAAAAATTACATGAATTATGTAACTATTATCTGAGATATGTATTTCCTTTTAAAAAATGAAGTGCTAAATTAATTGTTGGTGTTTGAGATTTATGGCAATTGATTAAATATTTTGACCGACTGTTACTAAACTACTTATAACTACTAATGCTGATTTACTTGATTAGATCCTTATCTCTAACGAAAAAAAAAAAAGATATTCCTCAAATCATTTTGTCCAGTAAGATCTTAAACTTTTGCTTTGCACGTTTGATTTTGTTCTATCAAATGAATCTTTTACAAAATTTAGTACAGTTCACAATAATATATAAATACATTAGAGTAACAAAGAGATGCCTTTAATCAGAAACTGTGGACGACAACAAAAAAAGAGTAACAAAGAGATGCTTATCGACCGCCGACCGACATCGGAAAATTAAATCCACACATTAAAAGTGTACATAATTGGTTTAGTCCAAAGTCCATTGATAGATAATTCATAAAAATAACTAAAAAAAGGAAAAACATAACGACCTATAAAATAAAAAGCAGATGCATTACTTGAGAAAAAAAAAGGTGAGAAAAAGAAAGAACACAAAAAAGATAATAACTTTTGTTTTGGGTTCCTAATGATAATCATAACGGCCATCTCAATCACAAAGATATCATCAAACCCTATCATCCGCCGTCGCCACGTCATCTTTAACCTTACCCATTTCCACCTCCAACACTCCCTCATCTCCGCCGTCTTCCGCCGTCTTTACACCGGAGTATTCTCCCTTCTCTTTCTCCTCCATCTGCTTCTTCTTCTCATCCTTCTTCATCTTCACGTAAATCCCGTACACGTACGACGAGAATCCCCAAATACAGAGCACCGTCGACACAATCTTCACTCCACCGAATTCATCGCCGTAAACCACCACACCTCCGATCACATTCATCGCTAGCAACGCCGTCATACAGATCCCTCCGGTGATCCCAGACGTCAAATAAACCATCCCTGACGTGGCGGCGAAACAGAGCTGCCACGTCACCACATTCGCTAAAATCGCTACGGTCCAGAAAACCGTCGGTCCTTTGGAGAAAACCCGGTTCGCTTCTTTAACCATTTCATTAAACCCGCCGTCAAAAGCCATACCGATCGTTGCGAAAACCGTCGCGGCAAATTCCATCACCAACTGCATCTCCATGACCATCGCGTAGCAGTAAACGCTCCGGTAAAGCCTCTCCGTCACGGGGAGGTAAAGCGCGAAGAGTAAACCGGCTCCGATCGTGGATAAAAACCCGATGAAATATTTGGTTTTAGTTAAACCGGCCGGTTTATCTTGACTCGAACCGAGGGCTAGTAAAACAGAGCTTAGCGTTAAAAGAACAACACAGTTGAGATTCGAGAAGGTGACTTTCTGTTTCACAATGATTACGGACAAGAGGAGAGTGAAAATGAGCTGTGTCGAGAGGAGAAGCGATGACGTGGACACAGGAAGGTACGAGGTTCCCCAAGAGAAGAGGAAGTTGTTGAAGCCGAGGACGAACCCGATCAAGACGGAGAAGACGAGATGGCGGCGCGTGAAACGCGTGAAAGGACGGCGCGTGGTTGTTTTGAAGACGAAGTGAGGGAAGTAGATAAGGAAGAGGAGGAGAGGGAAGCCAGCTGATTGGACCCACGTGGAGACCCACCGGCTCGAGCCACCGTGGACGAAGTAGTATTTCGCAAGGAGGCTCGAGGCTATCGAGCCAACGAAGAGACAAGCGTAAGTGACGATGAGGAGGCTGAGAGATCTCTTGACCGGTGGGTTGACCAGGTTTTGTTGTTGCTGTTGTTGTTGATCTGCGTTGACTCGACCATCACTCATTTTTGTCTCTTTGTGTTTCGAGAATCTTTTTTTAATTATCTCAATTTTTTTTTTGTTTATTTGTTAGTTTGTATGGTTTTGCATGAAGAGAGAAAGAAGATGGAACGAAGAAGAAGAGTTGAAAAAGTGAAAACGTTTTTTGGTAGAGGAATGGTTTCAGTCTCCAACCACACACACTCACGCTCATGTATATATGGTGACAAAATATGTTAATTTCGAAATAAAGATATTACTATATATGTATTCATTTTATATTCTTAGTCAACCGAATGTTTTCAGTTAATTAATGTGATCATGTATAATGAATCGTTACTAACAAATTATCTTAAACACGGCTTATGAGATTTAGGCCTAAAGAGTGTAGTCCACGAGATTATCGAAGTTTTTTCTTAGCATGTCCTCCACATGATATATTTTTAATAAAATATACAAATTTACGTAACAAGATTATTATTTGAAAGCCTAAAAATAAAAGCCTATCACAGTTACTTGTGTCAGTTAACAAAAATCTATTAAAGTATCCCCGACTTTCAGAACTAGATGTACAAAGAAAATTTAGAAAACTAAATGCTTCTGACAAAAAAATGCTAATATATATATATATATATATATATATATCGAATAAATTAAACTTACGGGGAAATCCTTATTTTGAAATGAAAAATAAAAAAGAATCTGACCAAAGCATATTCTATAATTTCAATTGAATACAAAATAATTTAATTAATTTCCATATATCTCGTATTTACAGTTTAATATATACCAAAATATGGTATTATGTTTTTGACTTATTGGAAATTTTAAGAAAAGAAATTATTATATTAGACCAAATTAAATAAAAAATAAAATTTATTTTGTACAAGTTAAACGTGCTACACGTATCTTTGAAAAAGGAAAACAATTCAGTATTAAGTAGTACTGGATGATTAACCGCACAATGTGCGGGATAAATATCAACTATAATTATCAAATATGTAAATATATTTATAAAAATGTTAGTTGATATTTATAATTACAAATATATGTACTGATTATTCAATTGTAAATAATGATTAAAATTATATATATTTTTTAATATAATTACATAAATATTAGATAATTATTAATTTAATAGTATTTTTTATATGAATGAAATTATATATTAAATATAATAAATTAGATTAATATGTTTTATTTAACCGTTTAATATTAGACTAAGATACCTTTTTATAAAAAAAATTAACTTATAATATGTATGAAAATATTTAAATTTTTTATTATTATATTAAATTGACAATGTGATTATTTTTAACAAAATGAAGATCAAAGAAAGATGAAATAAGAAATATAATGTTTAGTAATATAAGTAATATTATGTATTAAATTTTTATAAATATGTTGATAAGTAATAGAAAAAGAGAAAATATATTTACAAATTAAATGTTTGAGTATTAAATATATAACTGATATATAATAATTTCTAACTAAATTAATGTTAATGGTATTTAATGTAATTAGTCTATTGAGCCTACTTTTAAAAATTTCTAAAAAGCATTTTTAGATTGACACCTCAACATGACATAATTGTAAATCACACATGACACAAATGTTTTTTTAAGGGAGAATTGGTTTTATAATACAAATTGAATTAGAATTTTTCCTCTTAATATTTTTTGATGTGTCCTTATAAATAATAATAGAAGATTGAATTTGACTTTCTTTTATGTTGTTTGTAAAGTAGAAATTTAATAAAATCAGAAATTAAGACAGCTCCTACGAAATTTTTTATCCGAGTACTAATGTACTTCTATAAGTGAATAATTATTTGATTTAGGCTATGCAGTAAAACATCTATAAATTAATGATGTCGGGACCATGATATTTTATTAATTTATCGTAATATTAATTTATCTATAAATTAATAATTATTCATTTATAGTATAAATTAATAATTATTAATTTATAGAGATAATGTTTGTGTACTTAATTAATATATATTTTTTTAATTCCTTAATTTTTTATACTAATATTTTATATTTTTATGTTAATATATGAAACAGCTTTCTTCATTTTATGTTAGTATTCCATTTTTTTTATTTCTTAAATTTTTCCTTGACATTCATGAACTTGAGGTTTTGATTAATCATCTCGGTTATCGGAACAAAATGGATGTTAATACCATACTTGACTATCCTGGTGGAAACGATATATGCTCAGAAGTTCAGAGTTTAGAAGAGATTGTGGCTATTGTCCTTAATGTTGATGATGAAGTTGAAGATGATGCTATGGAACCTTTGACAGCAGTTTCGCGTAAGGAAGCGATTATGGCTTCAAGAATTCTTCAAAAATTTTGGATGCAGAAGACAACACCAGAAGTTGTTGATGCAATAAGTAAAATTAGAGATAAGTTTCAGCGAGATTCCAACTTTCAGAAAAAGCAAACAACAATAGATTCATATTTTTCTAGATTACCTTAGATATATTTACCTAAAATTTATAATTATTAATTTATGTTTTTGTTGGAACCATATTTTTTTGGGTTTTAAAAAAATTATTATCTTATTATCTTATCGAATTTGATGATTTTTTACATTGACCCAATTCGGGACCAAAAAAAATTATTAATTTATAATAATTAATAATTTATCGAATATTAATTTATAGTGGTTTTACTATACTTTTTCCAGCATATAAAGGCCATGCAACACAAATCTTTAGTAGTTCATATTCCAACGTCATCGCCTAAACAAACTGAGATATACTCGCTGATTTACATTTAACTCACAATTATTTCTAATACTTTTATATTCATATTTCGAAAACATATCTGATGATCGATGAAAATATAAAGAGCATCAACGACAATCTAAATTATAGATATTTTAGTTAATATCTTCAAAGATGTGAAAAGATATTATGTTCTTTGTTTTGATCATGTAACCAATTAATTTTTATTTTTATTTTTTGATGTAATTCCTATTGGATCATTCCTATATCTATTTAAATATAGAAATTAGTTTTGTATATATATTATTCTGGATAGGGATGTTGATGAAAGAGGTAATTTGACAAGTGGAGTTGGAGGAACTTGGGAAATAGAACAAACAACAGAACATTTTTGCTTTTGACTGTTTTCAATTTCATTCTGATTATCCTTTTTGCTCACCATTTTCAATGTTATTTCTTGTTTACTTTATCAACTTTGTATTAACTCATCTCTGTGTGCAACCTAGGTTTCAGCTAGTTCCTTTAATTTAGGAAACTACACAATATCATTACTATTCCCTGTCACAAACCATTTTTATTTTTATTTCCACATTCAATGCTCAAATTATTTAAAAAAAGTATAATGTTTTTAAACTTTACTTTGCCAACGGCCCAACGCAAACCAAAGCTAATTTTTTTTTAAAAAAAAAGTAAAATTGTTCATAAAACTAGCTGTTAAAATAAAAAAATATATATATTAATGGAGTTAAGTTCAAATGCCTTACATTGTGATTTTCTTTCCATAATATAATAATAAAGCAGATGTTAAAAAAAAAATATTAATGGAGTTAAGTAAAATTACATTACTATGTACTAATTTTCTCACCATATTTTTCTTTATAAGAGCGCTCTGCTTTCTCTTCAAAACAAAACAAACAAGTTTTAATATTCATTTTCTGACGGTTTTTATAGCTTGGGTGTTGTTTCTAATTTTAGATCTAGTTTCTTTTTAAAGAGTTATGTTTTCGTTGTATTATTGTATGTCTCCGGCGTTCAACTCTGTGAATCATTTATTTGTCTATGTTATCTATAGTTTGCTGGTAAAAATGATTTGTCTCTAAAAAATTCGGGCTTTTATCTTCAGAGGACGAGTTCATGCTGACTACCTCAAGTCATGATCTAAGATTTGCCTTAGATCCGTGCAATCGCATGGGCCTGATCACCGGGATCCCGCTGAAAGAGGATGGAGTAAAAAAATGAACTAAGAATAAGGATGGAGTAAAAAGTGCGATGATCCCAGGATCCTTCTATTGTTGAAAAATTATCTTCCGAAAGAAGTACAATTTATTTGTTTTTTTTTTCAACAGAAAGGGCTCGTTTTAGTCTAAAAATCAGAAACAGCTTATTTTTAAAAAATGAACTAAGAATATGTCAGAAAAATAGGCTCATATAGGCATGAAACAGAACTGGATATCCGGACTTTTCAAGGTATTCTGATCTGAATCCGGATTCGCCAGATAATCAATTTTATTATCCGGATCCGGATTCGGATCCGAAAATATATTTACGGATATCCAACCGGATATCTGATTTCGTTGATTTAAAAAAAAAACTATAATGAGATAACATAGATAATTAAAATATATCATCATTGCAAAAATTACAAATAACAAAAATTAAAAGCATTCAAGTAGCATTCAAATAGCATAAAGTTTAAAAATTTATATACCAAAGAAAAGAAAATAGTAATAGAGAAGTTAATTTATCTTCATGTCCATGTGGTATCCATTTTTATGTTTTTCTCTCACAATCTGAAATAGAAAATTATCATGCAATATGAATTTCAATCATATGTAAAGAAGTTAAACCAAAAACAATTTTCAAACATAATTAAAACAAAAAAATGAATGCATATCCAAAGATTTCTAAACTGATTCTTACCTCATCCAAACTTCACATGCAATATGATCATGGCTGCATATTCAATGTGCTCACTTCTGTAAATGATAATAATCATTAGTATTTAAAACAGTAAAAACAATATCATAAACTAAAAGATAAAAAAAACAAAGCATAAATACTTGATTCGATATTCTCAAGTTCAGCAAGCAACTCTTCTACTTTAGAGAAGTTAATTTTTAAAAATGAATAAATATTATCAAAAATAAGTAAATATTTAACAAACGGAAACAAATAACAGATATTAGGTTTCAAAATTTTCTATTATCAGGATCCGTATCTGAAATAACCGAATACTTTATTTCACTATCCGGATCCGGATCCGAACTATATAGATATTTAGTTTTTACGGATCAGATAAGATCGAATACGGGATCGGAGATCGGATACCAGATAATAATTCTAGGGTTAGGCTCATATGTAAAAAACAAATAGAAAATACTATATTTTTTTAATGATATTCTGAAGGTACAAAAAAAAATTTGCCCAAGGAACTTGATATGTATTGGGCCAGGCCTGCGATCACCATAGTCCCTTTTTAGCTCCGGCTTCAGTTCTCGTTTGGAACTTCTTCGTTGGCTCTAGTTCTGAAAATGCAAGCGATACTCAAAAAACTCCATTTCATATGCTTCCACTGATTTGTATCTCTGCTCTACTCTATAAAATTCTTTGCTCGATTAATGCATTTTAACTTCTCTCAAAATTTGTTCTGGAATCTGATACATGGTTGATGTTGGACCACATCTTGGTGGACAGTCACGAACGACAAGGTATCCTGAGTGGGGGTTGATACATGCCGTAATCTTTTTCCAAAGAAGATCGTGAACTCTTTTCCTTATTTTTTTAGGATTTTCACGTTGTTTTATGGCGTAATGCGAATAAGAACTAAGATAAGCAAACGATCGGAAATATAGTTTAAATATTGTAAGTGATTTGAAATTCTTTTGAGACCGTTAAAATAAAAGAAATTCCTTTGAGAAACACTGTGAAAAACTTTCGTTAACGTTTTTTAGAAAATGGTGTTGAAACTAATCTTCTGAGTCAGGATTAGAATGGCCTTTCTTGGGCTATGATATCAATGGTGACACCAACCACCAACAACGTTGAATAGAACGACGTATTAAGACACCCGTCAAGCCACACAGGCCAAGACAGCCAATGTCTTCTCCTTTGTTCCTGATCCCAAAATGTCCATTGACAAAATCCACCAACTTAACCCGAGCGATTTTGTGTTCTAAGAGTAATGGACAAACCCACTTAGGAATCCTTAAGAGTATTTTAATAGTTTTTTTTTGTTTTAAGGAAAATTATGAAACTCTGATCATTTTAATGGTCCATTAGTGAACCCATAAAAGGTGTCTTAAGAACCCCACTTTCAGTTACAAAAAAAATCCCCAAATCAATAATCAAATCCTAATTTCTACAACTATATCAAACTACTTCGAAATCGATAAAAATAACTTATCCAGCTACGCATATGTATTAATCTTTCATAGAAGCTCCAATTTTGGTCGTCGTTTAGGAGATGATCGGTGATTTAGCGATTTCGCTGAGGGAACAAAAAATCGCCTTCGAGAGAGAAAGGTTCTCGGCTTGGGATTTTTTTTGGGAGAGAGAAAAACAAATTGACCCAGAAAAGCATCTAAGTTTTTTTTTCCCCTCAGCCAGTAATAACTCGCCACGTGTATTAAAGATTGTATTATGGATCGATCCCTAAAATTCTTGTGTAAGGATCGATCCATAACCTAGGCCCATTTTTCTTTTATTTTTAAACCCAAAAAACTTAACAAACCCACTCAAACCCATTTAACAAACCTCAATGGACCTGGTCTAAATCGACTAAAATTAGTGATGTAAAATTCAATCACTAAGTCGTATATATATATCTAAATCATTTGTAATCTTTTGAAATCTTACGAATTTATAAGGAAGTTTCTGTGATAAGTCAACGCTATTTCAAATTTACAAAACTACGCTACTTTTTATCATAAATTAATTATATAATATAAACTTTGTTTCTCTTTACTTAAAACATGAATAAACCAAAGGCTGACCCTTTTCACTGTTGCTTGAGAGCATTTCAATAATCATTATATTAACAATAACATTCCAAATAAATAATCTTCGGGTAGTAGTATTGATAAGAGATTTAACGAAAAGAACAAATGGTCGTGTTTAGTTTGCTTTGGATTTGGATAATTTGTAGTAATATATATATATATATATGCAACTCAAATGATCAAACAGGTTTCATATACATTAGCTTCCCTCCTTAACATGTCAACCAAAATGGTTTCATATATTAATTAGCTTGGGTTTCTTATATGGAAAACCAATAACGTCTATATGAACGGTGTTTTAGCACCTGTTCAGAGAGATCAAACCCAAATCGATACGGTTAATTGAGGGGGTCTATTAACTCTCTCTTTATTTTATTTTTTGGATGAGACACAAAGCAGAAAGTAGGGTACCATGGAGAGAGAGTGATAAAAACACTTGAACCTGATCAAAGCCAAAAACAACTTAGAACAAAGCTTTAAACTCGAGTAAAGCTAAGAACAAAGACACAATACTTTTTCTTGGGTAGTTGAGACTACCTTTTTTATTTTCTTTTCTTCATTGATATAACTAGGGAATAAAGAAAGATAGAGTCATGGAATCCTACAATACGGGAACCAGGGAAAGTGGAAAACTGTTTCCTTCAAACAAGAAGTAAGGACTAGTTCTCGTTATTGAACAAGTAAACCAATGAAATAGAAGTCACAAGACTTTTTCAAACTGAATATTTGTTATTTGGTTTTCTTGGCTTAGTGACTTCTGTATTTCCACCTCATTAACTTGACCTTCGATATCTTCCTCTGTTGGTTTCCTCTAAATAACATAAATAGTTTTACCAGGTAAATGCTTGACTGAGCTCAAGCACAGAACCACTGAATTTACAATAGAAGCCGATGCACATTATTGGCTCTTTCACGGTCTTCTCCATGATCCTTAGTCCAACACGGTATTGTGGCTTAAGTTTTAACCAAACAGAAAAAAAAACATAAGAACAGTCTCGTTAAAGCCAACCAAATTTTGCGATATTTAGGGAATTTGTGTCAAACTTACTACTCGTTTTTGAAGCCGAGTACGGAACACGTTACGAATAGTAAGGACAAAGGGGCCAGGTGAAACAGGGCATGCCGTTATATCACACAAGGAGTAATTCTTTGTCATTGTGTAAAGATCTGTCACAAAGATGAGCTCTACACTTGCTTCGCCAGGGATTGCTTTCCCTGTTCACGCCAAGATTTATATCAAGACAAATCTCATATATATTCACTAATAAATTGGGATTAACATTAAAACTAGGGATTTAAAACCAACTTTTTTTGGGGGTCACTAGATCAAGACCCACTTGTTTATCAAGATAAATATTAACTTGAGATTGAAGTGGCAAAAATCATAGAGAGAGAGAAGAAGAAGAAAATTTCTTACTTGTATAACCAGTTATCGTAAAGTTTGCATTACCGGAACGCTTAACCGGGTTTGGAGAGATATCCACAGAATTGGCCCTAGCGGATTGCGTACCTAGAAACAGTATACATCTTGAGAAACTATACAAGATGATATGTTATATATTATATATGTTCTAAAAATATTCTGATTTGACTTGCTTGATCAAATGTATATAATATTACTTGTTATCGAAGTTAAAGAAACTTCAAACCCAAAAAGCAAACCTTAACATGTTTAACTTTTCTTTAACTTCCACAAATCAAAGTAGTTTCAATTTGTCATTTTTATCAATACAAACAAAACAAATTTTGAATTCACAACGACAAAAAATCGATACTTACTGCTGCAGTTTCCGAACCTGGTGAGCCCGCCCAAAGCAGGAAAAAAAAAGAGTGAAACTAGGAGAAGAAGCAGCAAAGGCGGGGCTTGAGATATAGCCATGGATATTCTAGCTTCAGTAGAGAAAATGCATTTTTTTTCTTCCTTTTGTAGTACTTGTTTCATACATCCAACATGCATATCTACTATTTTATAGTCGGTATATGTTGTAAGATTTTGCCAAATCAGTGGCTTCGTTAAAAAAACTAATATCCTTAGCTATAAAATAATCACACTCGTTATATGCAAGAATCTTAAAATAGATTTTTCAGTAGACAAAAATATAATTTTCAATTTGGTTGACAAAGAATAGTATGTAATACGTGTTACGCTTGAATATATGCCTGCTATTTTATAGTCAGTATATATTGTTAGATTTTGCCAGTGGCTTGGTTAAAAATAATCTTAAAAGAGATTTCAGTAGAGAAATATCCATTTTTCTATGAAGAAGTATGTGATACGTGTTATCATTTGTAATACGTGTTATACTTAAATGCATGCCTATTAATTATTACTTTTGGTGTCGGTGGATTATACGATTTTGCTTACTTAATAATAGTGTGTTTCATACTTCCAACATGCTTGTCTACTGTTTTGTAGTCGGTATAGGTTGTAATTAAGATTTTGCCAAAGAGTTAAAATCAGTGGCTTGTTTAAAAAATAAATAATATCCCGATTATATAATCTCCCACATTACAGGCGAGAATCTTAAAGTATAATAAAAATGTTTTGTGTTTGGTTTGCACAAAGAAGTATGTAATACGTGTTATCCTGCGATACGTAGGTGTAATCTTTAAATAGTTAAATGAATGTCTAATTGTGTACTATTTTCGGTAGATTTTACGATTTTGCTTACCTAATAAATTCATAATAAATAGAAACAATAAAAATACATTTACGTGTAAAATCAGATTTATACGGCGACTGCATAAGATCGTAGAATAGATTTTCATTAGAGAATTGTTTTTTTTTTGTTCGACAAAAGAAATATGTAGTACGTGTTATGCTTTGAATGCATGCCTACTATTTTTTTGGGTAGATTATACGATTTCGCTTTCCTAAACTAATAAATAGCATACATTTACGTGAAGACCAGATGTATACGGCAACTGCTTCCGAAGATGAAGGTTGGTTCGGCATTTAGTGTCATCTATAGTACTATATATTCTAAAGTTGTTTGATAGTGCTGGTTTAGATACTGGGTTTTGCCTAATTAATGGGTTTGTAAGAATTACTTATTCATTCTCATGCAATTAACTTCCACTTCGTAAAAAGAAAAAAAAAAATCAGTCTGTTGTCCTATTGAATATATTCGTAAAAAGAAAAAAAAAAATCAGTCTGTTGTCCTATTGAATATATCGACTTCGATTAAGTGAAACAGACAATTATTTTTTTTTAATCAATCGTAATCTTTTGAATCCCTATGTAATTTAAAAAAAATATGATACATTAGTCAATTTCTATTTCAAATGTACGAAACTACGCTAATTTTTAAGTATAATGAATTTTAATATGAGTTTTGTTTCTCTTAACTTGAAACATGAATAAACCAAAGCGGACCTTTTTCTCTGTTGTTTCAAAGCATTTGAAATATCATCCTATTAACAAAACAGTTCCAAAAAAATTCTTCGGATAGTAGTATTGATGAGAGATGCAGTTTGCTTTGTAGTTGGATGATTTTGTGGTAATATACGCAACTCGAATCTATGATGAAATCGGTTTCATACACTACAAAAATATAGGCTATTAATAGCAGCGTTTTTGTTCATTATGCTATTGTTTGTATACCTACATTTTTAAGATAGCGTTTGGATATTTGAAGACGCTATGATATATTATTAAATTAAAAAACTAAAATTTTCGTGGGTTTTATAATGATGAATGTTCTCTCTAATAGCAGATAATTTTTGAAAACGTTATAATATGTTTAGGCGGACAAATTTTTCTAAAGACCCACGACATTTAGAAAATTTAGCTTTTACAAAATTTTTTGGCTCTCTAATATCGTAAAATCCCCAATTTTCAGATTTAAAGAACTTCATCACCATTTTCAGTGTTCTTACCCTAATTCGACACTCTCCCTGACTAAATATCTCCATTTCATACTTCCTATAACTCTAAATCGAAATTTTTCATTCTCCATTTATTTCTTATTGTACCCAGACTCTCTATATCGAAGAGTCTTATTTGCTCGATTTCTGAGCATACCAAAAAGCCCTTTCCAAACCAGCGACTGTGAAATCCCCGACTCTCCGGATTCGTTCCTAAACAAATCCCGCGGATCTCATTTAGCGAAGGTGAAATTGAGTTCACATTTAGCGAAGGTGAAATCGAGTTCACTTTTAAGTTCTCTTTTATGTTGCCTATCTTCTTGCATTTTGAACTCAGCTTCGCATGTCGATATTGAGGAAGATTTTGTTAGGCGAGGAAGAACAAACACAATCAGGTATCCCAAATCTATTTGATTTCTGACAAGATTATATTGTCGTTCTAGCCTAAACCTTACTGTATTTGGGTTTTTTATAGACATAATTTGGTCGGAGCTGTTGTAAACATGGATAAAGCTTGGGTTTGGTTGCCAAGGTATTAATTCGACTGCTTTCACACATTTTTCTTGATTTCATTTTCCGTATAGGGTTTAGATCATTGTATTTCCTAATTCATTTATATTTCAATTTGATAGGAATAGCCTTGAATATGAGGAAGGAGCAACTAAGTTTCTCTCTGATTCAGCAAAAAGATTAGGTTATCCTTCGGAGATATTCTGTCCTTGCGTTGATTGCCGAAATGTTTGCCACCAATCAACTTAGACTGTGTTGGAGCATCTAGTGATACGAGGGATGGATCAGAAGTACAAGAGAAGTCAATGTTGGAGCAATCACGGGGATATAAGGAATGAGAAGATGAATGATGTTGATACGTCTGAGTATGAGGCGTATGATCTGATTAGGACTACTTTTATGGCAAGTGAAAGCAAGAAACCATCTCAGCAGCAGAATGTAGATCAGTTTGAAGATACTGACGCAGATACTGAGTTCAAGAAGAAGTTAGAGGATGCAGAAACTCCCTTGTACTCGACGTGTATGAACTATACCAAAGTTCAAGCAATCATGGGACTAAACCGAATAAAAGTCAAGAGTGGGATGTCATAGAACTACTTTGACCAGCTTCTGACGCTAGTTCACGATATGTTGCCACTCGACAATGTTCTACCTAAGTCTACTGATGAGATGAAGAAATTTTTGAAGATGTTTGGGTTCGGCTATAATGTGATTCACGCCTGCAAGAATGACTGCATTCTTTATCGGAATCAGTATGAGGAGTTGGTGAGCTGTCCAAGATGTAGTGAATCAAGGTGGGAAAAGGATAAACACACAGGTGAGGAGAAGCAAGGGATTCTTGCAAAAGTGCTCATATATTTTCCGATTAAAGAAAGAGTTAGGAGGATGTTTAGATCAAAACGGGTAGCTGAGGCTTTATGTTGGCACTACAGTAATGGTAGTGAAGATGGTACTATGCGGCATCCAGTTGACTCCTTGACTTGGTTTCAGGTCAACGAGAAATGGCCGGAGTTTGCTGCTGATGCTAGAAACCTTAGACAAGGTATTTCTACAGATGGCATGAATCCCTTTTCGATCCAGAATACAAAGTATAGCACATGGCCGGTGCTCTTGGTCAACTACAACATGACACCAACTGAGTGTATGAGAGCAGAGAATATCATGCTGACACTGTTGATTCCTGGACCAACCGCACCTAGCAACAACATTGACGTCTACTTACAGCTGCTGATAGATGATTTGAAAGACTTGTGGATTCAAGGTATAGAAGTTTATGATACCTTTAAGAAGGAGAGTTTCACTCTTAGAGCCATTTTGCTGTGGAGCATCAGCGACTATCCTGCGTTAGAGACATTAGCTGGATGTAAGGTCAAGGGGAAACAAGCTTGTAATGTATGTGGAAATGATACACCATACAGGTGGTTAAAGTTCAGTCAGAAGCAACAGGAAGCGACTAAGGCCTGGTCATCCATACAGACGTAGAAAGGGGTGGTTCGACAATACCATAGAATCTGGGTCTGCGAAAAGAATTCAGAGTGGAACAGAAATATTTGAGAGTCTTAAGGATTTTAGGAATGATTTTGGAAGACCTTTGGATAAGAAGAAAGGTAAGAGAAATAGAAACGATTTCGACGAAGATGATGTGATATCAACAGAAGAATATGAAGACGACATTGACCTATAGTGATGGAAAAAAAGGTCTATATTTTTTTATTTACCGTACTGGAAGGTTAGTACTCTTTATAATCATTTTTCTTGTTGGTAGCTTAAGATGCTTAATTATATTCCTGAAAGCTGTTTATACTATATGTGGCAGGATCTGCCTGTGCGGCACAACATTGACGTCATGCATGTCGAGAAGAATGTCTCTGATGCATTACTAGCAATTCTGATGCATAGCCAAAAATCTAAGGATGGGTTGAAAGCAAGAAAAGATTTAGAAGACATTGGTATTCGTCGCAACCTACATACTCAGGTACGTGGGAAAAGAACTTACTTACCTCCAGCTGCATATTGGCTTTCTAAGGAAGAAAAACGGATATTCTGCAAAAGACTATCTAAATTCAGAGGGCCAGATGGATATTGTGCAAACATTACTAATTGCGTTTCTGTTGATCCGCCTATTATTGGTGCTATGAAGTCACATGACCATCATGTATTAATGCAAAATTTGTTTCCTGTTGCATTAAGAGGTTTACTGCCAAATGGTCCTCGGGTTGCAGTGACTCGGCTATGCAATTTCCTCAGTAGACTGTGCCAACGTGTTATAGATCCAGAGAAATTACTAGCATTTGAATCAGAGGTTGTGGAAACTATGTGCCAGATGGAGAGATTCTTTCCGCCTTCACTTTATGACATCATGTTTCATCTACCAATACATCTTGCAAGAGAAGCACGCTTGAGTGGGCCGGTACACTTCAGATGGATGTACCCATTTGAAAGATATCTCTTTTTCCAGTTATATATTTCATTATAATTCTAGACCAATACGTACCTATTACTTGTAATCTTTTTATCATTGATATGTAGGTATATGAAGACACTAAAGGGATATGTCAAGAATTTTGCTAGGTCAGAAGCGTGTATGGCTGAGGGATATTTGGGAAGAGACAAACCAGAAAGGCTTCGAGGGATGGGAAGAGGGGCTACATGAGCTTGTTAAGCAAGGGCGTTGAACATGCTCTTAGCTATAATATATAATCTCCGTCGTTATATGCAAGAATCTTAAAATATATTTTTCAGTAGAGAACAAAATCATTTTCTATTTGGTTTGATAAAGAAGTATGTAATACGTGTTATGCTTTTTGTCGCTATCCTTAGTTATAATATAATCTCCCTCGTTCTATGCAACCGTGCCTGAGCACAGGATAATGAAGCATGTGCTTCAGGGCCGGAGGAGTTAAATATTTTTTTGGGCTAATTTTTCAGAGTTAGAGTTAGTCCAAGTGTTTTGTGAATAGGTAAAAGCATGTTTGGTAAAGGTTTGTCTGGGTTCGACTCTTCCCAAACACATATATGTCATTTTTTCTTTTTTTTGCCAATTACTTGTGGGTTAAGCTGCATTAAAAAAGGTTTTAAGGGGACATTTTTTTTTCTCGCTTGTAGTTAGAGAAATTTTAGATACGGTTTATGCAGGAAATTTAAAATATATTTTTCAGTAGAGAAAAAATAATTTTTTATTTGGTTTGACAAAGAAGTATGCAATGTAATACGTGTAATGCTTGAATGCATGCCTACTTATCTATAGTCGGTATAGGTTTTAAAATTTTACCAAATCAGTGGCTCGGTGAAAAATAATCATAAAATAGATTTTCAGTAGATAATATATTTTTCTACGAAGAAGTATGTGATACGTATTACCGATCTTTTTTAATACGTGTTATACTTGAATGCATGACTTACTTGCTTAATTAATAATAATAGCAATAACATGTATTACAAAGGATAACACGTATCATTTGTTCTAAAGTTGTTTGATAATATTGGTTTAGATCATTTGCGTTTTGCCTATATTATGGGTTCTGTAATAATTATTCATTCTTATGCAATTAAACTGAGAATAAATAATTTTCTTAAGTTAATTTTGCCAAATCAATGGCTTATTTAAAAAATAATAATATCCCTTGCTTAGCCAAGGCTTGCTATATTTATAGTCTTCCTTGCTATACGCGGGAATCTTAAAATAAAATTTCAGACTTTCAGTAGAGAAAGATATATTATTCTGACAAAGGAGTATGTAATACGTGTTATTTTTGTGATACGTGTTATACTGTTATCCTTGAATGCATGCCTACTATTATTAGAGTATACGATTTTTGCTTACCTAATTAATGGTAATTTATAAATAGCAATACTAATTAAATACTACGGGAAAAATCAGATGTATACGGCGACTGCTACGGAAGATTTCAAGAGACGGTTGGGTATCACCGTATTGGTTTTTTTTTGTTTGGTTTTAATATCACCGTATTGGTTGGTTCGGCATTTAGTGTTATCTATGGTATTCACTCTTTTTTTATTTTTTTGGTAAAATATTAAAATTTTTATACCATTTTTTGAAGTTACATAGATGCTAGAAGAAAGAAACTAACTAATAACTAATAAGAAACAGCTGATTAGACAGAAGCACATATAACAATTAACTAATAGAGCCAAGATGTTGGAAGTAAAGTTCGAGAAGGGAAGGCGAGGCGTGCTAATCAGTTCCGCACCGC